GGAACACCCGGGTTTATTCAATGATTCTGCATATGGTTTTTGTCTGAAAGATTAAAAAAAATATGCAACAGATAATTTGGAGTACAGCCTGCAAAATTATGCCACATTTTTTTTTCCAAATACATTTTTTATCTCATTAAAAAAATTGAGAAAATTACTTGAAAAAAAGTGGATTTTAATAACACATAATAAATGAAAATTCGTGTCTCTTTGTGATATGCTGCTATCTACTGTTTAAAAAGAAAAGTTCAAAGTATATTATAAAGACATTTTTATCTATTTACGGGTGAATTTAAAGGTTTCAGAAGCGATTCAATTTAGGTGTTCCATGTAGTGGAACACTGAGCTGCAAAGCGTTAAGATATATGGTACTCTTCTGTTAACATTTTGAAGACGGGATGGCCATTATGGTGGCTGTAGAGTCCTCTCTTTGAAAAGACGGGGTTGTCCACTTTAGTGGCCATGTCTTTTCCTCCCATTTTCCAGGCTGAAAAGTGGGGTGAAATGTCAAATTTGACATCCCTAGGGTTTTAACCTCTTATCTCTTTCAAAGGTCTTCCTTTTGCAACATAGATGCCCCACTCTGAGAATCCATTAAACTACACACAAGAATCTTTGTTGCAAATAGGAGGTGATTTCTTAAAGGGGGAAAGGATTCAGTTCAAGATTCCCCGTCCTTTGGTAGCTTTTACTGCTACCAAAGCCCCAGCCTCAAAAGGTTAATGAGGCTGAATTCAGAAATGCATATGTGGATGTATTTATGTAAGTATGTTTGTGTACCCATGCACATATATGCATTTTTTAATCAGGTCCCGATAACACAAGAGTAATAGATGTATTCATTTTTCATATTGTTACAAGTATTATTAGTCTTAAATTTAAAATCATTGCATCCTTTCATAGTTCATTAATTTCATTTTTATCTATAGTTCTAAATTCTGCAGAAAGAATCTGAAGCAGAAAATAAATTATTTATCTTTGTATGCATTTTAAAATTTTGCAGAGGGAATTTACCAGGTCTTTCTGTGTGACTAATTTTTAATTGGAAAACCAAGTTTGTGAACCTCAGCTGAGATTTTATGTAAAGTGACAAGGTCTGTTATGAACTACTTCTCTCTCCCAAGTTGCATTAATTTTACTAATACATGTATAGAAAAATTAAAATCCATTTTCACCTAAGCAAGTTATCAAAAACTTTATTAAATAGTGTGCACGTTTTTTAAATATATGAGGTTGAGCAGATGGTGTTGTTTGCCAAGAAACAAGGGTGCTCTGGCATAAGGCATAAAAGTGTCTGACGCCCTTAAAGAAATTCATTTTATATCATGAAGAATGCAGCTTTCATCAAGTTATCATGGTATCTGTTTGAAGGTTTTTATTGTGGGAAATAGTCGCCAATTTGCGTAAAGGCATGCATTTGTGCAATGGAATAAAGAATTAAATCCAACAATTATGAATTTGCAAAACAAAGAACTGACAAAGAACAAGGTTAAGGTGATAAGTGTACTGCAGTTACCATTAGTATGCCTTTCAATTGCTAAGAGTCGTTAATTTTTTTCTTCCGAGGTTTTTTTTTTTTTTTTTTGTGCGTGTGCGCGTTCTGCATTAATTCTATAGTTATGATTAACATTTAATCTTTTTTTAAACCATTGATATCGTGTGATGGGGCTGTGCCTCGGGGAAAAAAAGAAAAAAAAAAAAGAAAAAAAAAAAAAAAAAAAAATTTAATTTTAAATTCAGCATCTTTAAAATCAAAAACAAATCTGTTTTAAGAAATCATTGTATATTACTTAGTTCATTGTTATAAATTTTGTTACTTTCAAAGATATCGGACTGGCTGATAGGGATTTTTGTGTTTTTCCTCTAGTGTAACATGAGTGCAAGCTGTTTTTCCAAAATCCTCAATGAAGTCATCCCCCTTTTTTAGGCCAGGAAGCCCTAGTGTACTTCATCATAATTTAACAAAATCTGTGTTGTTAATTCTGAAGGGATTTAAATCAAAAGATTGGAAAGATTATTTAACACAAAAACTCTGCATTCATATTCTAATTAAAGTTATGTATTTAAGTACTAGATTTTGTGAAGCATTTGCATAATAACTTGATAATTTCTGCAAAAGTTAAATAAACTTGTAAATTATTTTCCATGCTCACTGAAAATAACAAAAATAGTAAGAAATGCTTCTAAGTTGAGAAATTCACGTTACTCTTGATGATGATGAGCATGTTGATAGAATATGTTAACATAAAATGGAAAATAGGTCATTTCATTTTGTGTGTGATTCAGTCATTTATTGAAAAATCATTTTTTTACAAAAATTAATGATTCTTTTCCATTATAGGGCAAAATGGTGAAGTTTTTCTAAACGTAAGAAAATGTCTGTCTCTTGAATTAGTTAAGGTGGAGTGAAGTCAGTTCGTGGAGTGAAGGGACACGTGCATATGCTGTTTATTTTGTTATAATCTGACTGAAATTTCTCTAACTAGTATGTAGTAATGTACTAACAAGTTAATATGAGCTATTCACATAGATGTTATGCAAGGAATGAAAGTGTTTTCCTCGCTTAAATCAACCAAGCATTTTATAGCAGGTTGTTAATAATTCTGCTCTTGCTCAGTTGTGTACGACATATGGAAGTGACAAATAAACTCAGACAAGTAGTAAAACAAGTTGGAAATAAAGTTACATCTAGGTTCAACAAAGTTTCAAAGTATTTTTAAGTTATACTGTGGCACAAGTTCGGATTAGTTGATATTTTGTATCAACTAATCGAAATGAAAATTTATGCAAGCTTAGGATCGTGGTTAATATTAATCAAATGGTAATAGCTGTACAATGTGTTTGGTACCTACAGTGTTAAGCATTGACGTACCAGACCGAAAATATACAGATTTAAGTTCCAGCTTTACAAAAACCAGTGTGAGCTTATGTGAATAAACAAAGAACTAAAATAGAATGCCACACTTAAAAAAAATCTTATATGTTCACATTGGTAACTATGATAATATTGTTTATTTAAAAGAAACTATATTCCAATGAAAACACATAGTAATATTAATAATATTACAATACGTAGTAAGGTATCTTTATTTCTACTTCATTGTATGAACCTAGGCCATTCTTATTCTTGTTCGCAGCTATTCTCCAGGCCTGAAATCATGCAGTGCTGCTTTAACCCTTGTTTACTACAGCTTCCAAGTCATCGCCACGATCACCATTCAGTTTGTCCTTTCCCTGTGTAATGATTTTCTGAATTATCAAGAGCATTAGTTATCACAATTCTTCATTATAATTGATTCATTAGTCAGAGTCCATGCATCCAAAATCTAAAATGAATTTAATTAGAAATTCACTGCCTAGCGCTAGGGTGAGAATATGCAGGGAAATATGGTATAGTAGATATAAAATAGCTTTTTTAAAATCATTGTAGCAGTTGTACCATCTAAGAATTTTTAATATAAAATTTGCTGTGTTGAGCAAAGTCATGAGAGAATATGTCTGCAGACATTTTTAAAAATGCTTGTCACTTGCCATAATTTATAGTCAGCTATCATGTTTCTTGGCATTGACTGCAGTGAGTCTGCAGTTTTTGAATACTGCAAATAAAAAATGGTATTTTCCATTTAATGGAATATGCAAAGAAATGCTAAATGAAGGCAATATAGCTGTTTTTGTTTGCAGTGGTAATGTCTCAATTGTCAATTAATTTTAAAAATGTCAAAATTTTAATAAGGTTTTCTGCAAAATATTGCCATTTTGGCTTTGTCTTTAATTTTATTAAGTAGTTATTCATACAAATTATTTCAATTCTTCCTTTGTGAAAATATAGGATACCCACTGTTCATTTCCTGGCATAACCCAAATCGTAAAATTTCAATTTAAAAAAAAACTATAATTAGATGTAAAACATAGTTTCTTTTGGGAAAAGGCAAACCAAACTGGTGATGCTGGTAGAGAAATACAGCTTTAAAATAACCATGAAATTTTCAGATTAATAGAATATGTGAAAAAATGGAAATAAGTGCTAAATGAAGGTGATACAACTCTCAAGTCTTCATTGCAGTGGCAATGCCCGAACATTCAATTAACAGGTAGCAAAACCTATAGTATGGTTTTTAATCCATAAGATATGAATAGTATTTGTAATTTTAAAAAGTGACAGTTGCTGAGAAAGAAAAGATTTCACTTTACTATTTAGTAGAAATTCTTGGCATGGCAGTTACAAGATTTGAACCATACTTTGCAACTGCACATTATGCTAGGTTAGCAGGGTTCGCATGGTTCTTAGAAGTAATTAAAATTCTTTAATTTCCGCCCAAATTGGCAAAAGGTCCATAATTTTATTCATCTGACATTTCTGTGTTTTTTCTACAATTGCTATTTTGAGTATAAACATTTTGAAGGAATGTTATTCGATCCGTTGACAAATATGTACTTGATGGATTATTATTTGAATAAGTTACCCCTTCTCTTTTTTGAGAGTATTCATAAAATATTACATCAAAAATATACTTTCCTCTTTTGAGATACTATCATTTCTTGTACTAAATTTGGCAATGTCAAGATCAGTTTGGTTAAAAGATTCTTTATTCAGATATTTTCAGTTTTTTTGACAAACATAATAAAATGGAAAAATATTGTTAAAATAATGATAATATATTTACATTTTAATTAAAAAGTGTTAAAATAAAACATTTTTATTTTCCTATGGCATATTTTAAAATATTATTTTCCATTTTAGCGACTTAGCAATATTTTGATTCTGAAAAATAAATAAGGTAGTAAATGTTATGAAACGTTTTCCAAAGCACTTCTCAACAAAAGCAAAAATGATTTTAAAATTAATTTCCTTATTCTTCTTTTATATTTTTTGATTAGAGTTTTTCCCCATGCAATTCTTTCAGAATATTCAAATATCTAACAGTTTTTTTCTAAAAATTCAGTTAACACTTTTCTTTTCTGAATTTTTTATTCAAAAATCTGCCTTTATGCTCTTTCAGAGTTGGCAGGGATAATTTCTAGACCTAGTGCCTCAGAAGTTTTACAAGTATTTGAAAGGAAGATTTACAGATCTACGATTCCAGATAAATGTGGTCAAATGAAGGATGTTTCCACGGTAGCACGTAATGAATGTGCATTATAGAAAATCCCTGGCAAATTTCTTATTTTATGGAAAATATTTGGAAGAACAGTGAAAACAAAAGTATTTATGTTTTCTGCTTTTGGTTCTAAAAGTTTTCTTAACAAAATTTATCTTCCCTTTATTTTCTCATCTTTTCATTTTACACAAGCTTGGAAAATTGCAGATGTAGTTTTAATCTTGTGACATGGAGAGGCATCCGTAAAAAGGATTTTTTCTTTGAGCAAAGACATGTGTAACGTGTATACTAGCCAGTTTCCCTTAGAAAGTCCTCCACGAAGGCATCCCTCCTCTTAGGCAGATAGCCCTCGAGGCTTTGCCATAATTAAATAGCCTAACCTAAACCTTTGAGCAAAGAAATTGAAAGCTGACAATTTAAAAGATTCATCTTGTATGTCTCACTGCACAGTACACAAGGCATTTTGCCATTCGGTGCAGTCTCTGTGGATCCTAAATTCTGCTGCCCAGTAACTGACCTAAATTCTAAAAATTTGTTGTGTCCATTGCTTTTACTAATAAAAATTTTGCAGTACTGCCTCTGACATCAATCCTGTCCTTGTACCATTTCATATTTATTCTCAATACTCATATTATTAAAGAAATAAATTTAGTATCTTTTATACATTCTAAATACACCCAGTTCTTTAGAATCGCATAAATATTCAACTAAATAAGAAATTCTAAAATGCAGAGGAAACTTGTTGAGAAAGAAACTGATTACATAAAAAGAATGAAAATTATTGTTAAAGCTCTAACAAATTAGGGGATGAAACAGAGACTAGTGGGAACATTGATTTGTTTATTGAAACAAACAAACAAAAAAAAAACAAAAAAAAGATGTTAAAGAGAAGAAAATTGATGTAAATGAGCTAAAATATGTTGAAAATTTTCAAATTAAAAAGATGCATAAATATTTTATTATATGCTGTTGCTACGAAACATAAATGTTTGTAGCTTTTTTTTTCATATAATTATCCTAATATTTTAGAACCAATATGATAAATTGCATGCATAATTATTTGTATTTTAAACTGTGAAATATTCTTAGATTATGATTCAAATATTGCTTTTGTAACAGACATTTTCTAGAAATAAAAAAAAAAATGAATGACAGTGATGTAAATCTAAAATGACTGGTTATTAAACTATTTATATAAATATTTGTAATTAATTGCTCACCCTTAGGAGTTGAAAATATAGTTTCAATGTACAGTATGCTTTAAGGTTAGTTATCTTTCCTTAGTCCTTACTTTGAAAGTAAAAATTGACATTATTCTTATGCCACCCAGACTGTATAGTGGTTAGGGAAGCCTGATTGCGATACCGAAGGGCCTGGGTTCGAATCCCGGAGAAGGCATGGTTGTAACTGTCCATCCCTTCATAGGAGGTGATGGTGGCCCACCTATTAGTTGCCTCCATAATAAAGAGACCACCACATGTGGCCTTGTTTAGATTAATGGACTGTTTTACACTGTGACTATTCACAATCTGCCATTGGAGGGGGGGGATTATTCCTTACAGCTATTAATACTAAAAATAATATAAAGCAGCTTACCCCTTCTGGTGTTTCAGTGGCTTATTGGAACTTTGTATTAAATACTGCATATTAACTGGATTATAACTCAAGCAACTGTACACAAAGCTAAGGTACTAACTGGATCAGGCAAAGTGCATTTAACTTTCTTACTAATCTTGCCAATGTCAGGGATTCATGTCTGTTCTGATCTCTCTCTCTCTCTTAGCTAGCAACAACAGTGGCAGTAGCCAACCTTCTGTTACAGATCATGCTGGTTATGATTTTACTTCTGATTTTAATCTATGCTGTTTGACATAAAATTTACTTAAACCTCTGGACTGAGTGAGTATTTGATGAAACAAGGCATTACAAAAAAAATCGATATAAAACTAATTGTTAATAAAACTTAAATGTCACTAATCTTTAAAATATGTTGGACTATTACTAGTGTAAAATAATGTAAGAATACATTTTGTAATTTTATGCCAATTACATGATAAATTTTACAGAGTTGATTTTGTACTCGAATTTGTTTTATAGTTATGATAAGTATTAAATTATGTTTAATAATAATGTATCCAACTTGCAGATTTATTTTAGTCTTTGAATGTACAAAAGTAAAAGAGATAATTGCTTTATTTTATTCAATTATGCTGATAGGCCCTTAATTTTTTTTTCATTAGTGGCCCTTAAAAATACTTAATTTCAGTGTGCAGAAATGTATACAAATCCTGGGTAGAGAAAATGTTAAAGTAAGAAAATTGCTTGACCTTTCTGGATGGCATAACTGCCTTTATCCAGTCAGATTTTTTTATCATTTGATGTGTGTTACCTTAATTACTTTGTTTTTGTCTTTGCTTTAATGAATTAAATATCTTAATAAATGAAAATGTATGAAAGCACAGACTAAAATAATACAGTTAAATCTTCATAAGCAGAATATATAAAGTCTTACATTTACAGAGTTAAATTACTTATGCTAAATGAAATGTTTAATAAAACATTAATAAACACGTTATAATAATGTTTAATAAACATTGAGTGTTTTTTGGGGGATGGATAAATTTTAGTTCCCTTAAGGACCTTTTTATGACATGAGCATGTTCCATTATTTAACAGATAACTATTTCATATTTTTAATTTTATAATTTCTGTGTGTTATTGTACTAGATTTAAATGAATGATCTAAAATCTCTATCTTGTACTTTTTACTGTACAGGCAACATTGTCTCATTTAGATTTGAATGTTTCTAAAGAGCACAAAATTATTTTTTTTGGGGGGGGGGGCAGGGAATTCAAAATCATATATTTTCCTAAACATAGAAACTATGGCTCATACTTCTTTATCGTCTTGATTGTTTGTAAAAAATGGTGACTAATGGTAAAAGTAAAGAACTCAAAATCCAGATGTGTTATAAATGTCAAAATTAGTGTACTGTTTCTTTTTTCAAAGAAATTAGTGTACTGCTTCTTTTTTCAAACTTTGTAATGTTGCATTCCATGACATTAACTGTTATGGATGGTTTTATGTTTTGGACTTTACTTTTTCTATCAAGTGAAATAAATACATAAATCATTTTATAATCATTTCTTTCTGTATATTTATTAATATCTTACACTAGCAAACTATATATATTGCCTTTTAGTTTTGTTAAAAACTTAGAGCTTTATGATCAATAGTCTGCATTTTCTTGTGATAAACAAAATTGAGTCATTACTCCAGCATGGTCTACAATTGAATTAAGTTTCTACGAGTGCAGGTTTGCTGGGCCATAGAGTGCTGAAGTGTTAGAAATGTGTCAAATATTGGCTTTCTCTAAACTGGAAGATTTATTTTTGTTCACTGTTAAAGCTTACTAGTTATGTATGGAATCGGGCGAGGGTCATTAGAACAAAAGTATCTTCTGAAATTAAAATATTACCTTCTTTTTAAGCATTTCTGTGTTGTATTCAGTAAGTTTACTAATGTATCAGAAATTTATACAGTGAAGCCCCTTTTATACATCTGTCTAGGAATAATTCACAAATGACGTATATATGTAGGCGTTATATAAACCAAATTTTAATTTATGATGTGAAATGTATATATAAATACAGTCAAAAGTCTTTAATCCGGACTCGTCGGGACTTCGGTGATTCCGGGTTATCGATTTTTCCGGATTATAGATCATCAGTTTAAATCTGGTAAAATGGCATGCAGAAATTATAAAATTAAAAATATGAAACCCGTAATTTTAAAATAATGAGCAATTATGATCTAAAGGGTATCAAAATTTACAAAAAAAAAGCTTAATATTTATTTGTTTACTTTATTAAACATTTCTTTTAACGCGCGGATGCGTAAAGCATACATTACGCATAGCCGAAATTAGAAAATTGCAACCAGAAAACTATTTGATTTGTATTCGTGATATTTATAATGACGAGGAATTTGATTTAAATCATATCAAAGACGGAGTACATCGAGATGAAATACTACATTTAGTAAGGAATTATGAGCCGAATAAAATAAAAACATCTGCCCCGAAGATAACGATAGTGTTGACAGATCAACTTCCAGTTCATTGCGCACCGCCACGTCTCCCCCCCCCCCCCCCGCGAGCAGAGCAGTGTGAAATTGATAAACAGATTTCGGAACGGTTAGATAAACAAAGGATATGCCTTTATCCATTTTTTGGAGCAATTCCACTTTTTGTTTGATGGACATCGAAACATACTTTCGTTTTTGTAGATCCTTTGGGAGCTCCAGCATCGGAAATTCTATTTGACATAATCGAAAGTTCAAGCTTACTTTTATAAAATTGCTCTTACAGTCTGCAAAAAATATAATAAGCCGGATCCAATTCGAAGATTAAGGAACAACGCAATCATAACTGAAATAGAATTAGATAATTTTAGCTTATACCGTCCGTTATACATTAAACGCGCACGCGAAAACGTATTCTGCGCTTGTGCACACGCAAATGCGCAGTCGTAAAGTCTTAGCGCACAGCTTAAACGCCATGCGCATGCGACAATGCGGCGCATGCGCAGAAAGTTTTTAGCTTTGAGGTCCGGATTATAGATCATTCCGGATTATGGGTGTCCGAATTAACGACTTTTGACTGTATATGTATTACTGCACTATTTTGATACTACTAGTCTACTAGTGATATTACACAATTTTATTATCATACTTCAGTTTATTTAAAATATGTTCAAATAAATTTAAAATTAATATTTTAAATAAATATTCAATTAATAATCTTATTTTAAGCAATTTTACTTCCTTGTATGAAGTAAAGGAAATATTGCAATAGCGGAAAATTTCGACTATCGTATTTCAATAGAAATATCCATTTAGACCATTCCTGAATCTATGTGGATGATATTTGTGTGTGATGTCTGCATGTGCAGACAAAATAAGAGACCTTTTTTGAAAAGTGGATTTTTTTGTGACATCTGTATATATGTATCTATGTATCTGGCATAACTCAAAAATGATTAACTGTAGAACATTGAAATTTTGTATATAGGACTGTTATAACATCTAATTGCGCACGTCCATTTTTTATTGCAATCAGCACTACAAAAGTATATACAGTACAAAGTCTTTAATCCATTGCAATCAGCATTACAAAAGTATATACAGTACAAAGTCTTTAATCCAGGCTCATCGGGACTTCGCCAATTCTGGATTAGGAGTTTTTCCGGATTATAGATCATCAATTTAAATCTGGTATGATGGCATGCAGAAATTATGAAATTAAAAATATAAAACCGTAATTTATGAAGTAAAGAGCAATTATGATCTAAAGGGTATCAAAATTTACACACGCACACACAAAAAAAAAAAAAATTCTTAATATTTATTTGTTCACTTTATTAAACATTTCTTTCAATGTAAGTTGTTTAAGTTGCTTCGTTTTATGTGCTAATACTTTCTTTTTAATTCTATAAACAGAGATAATTTCTTGTTCAGTTACAAAGTTCTGCTGTTCAAATCCTCTAGTTGCTGTGCCGAGAATACCGACTAACATGGCAATCAAAATTTTTCGTTTTCACTAACTTCTCTGTCACTTTCTTCATGCCTTTATGCATTTTTTGAAGCAATTCCACTTTTTGTTTGATGGACATCGAAACATGCTTTCGCTTTGTAGGTCCTTTAGCAGCTCCAGAATCGGAAACTCTTTTTGACATGATCGAAAATTCAATCTTACTTTTTATAAAATTGCTCTAACAGTCTGCAAAAAATAAGCTGGATCCGATTAGAAGATTAAGGAACAACGCATGCAACATTAACTAAAATAGATAATTTTAGCCTAGCTTATACCGTCCGTTATACATTAAACGCACATGCGTAAACGCTACGCATGTGCAGAAAGTTTGTAGCTTTGAGGTCCAGATTATAGATCATTCCAGTTTATGGACGTCTGAATTAGAGACTTAAAGGCTGTACTGTATATAAAATATGTATGTATGTATACCCGACCCCTTGCACAGCTTAAAAGTCTTTTAATATTTATTTTCACAATCATTGGTCATAGTTATATACTTCTAGTTACAGAAGTGTTTTGAGGGTACATGGAACATCTCAACAGGAGAAATGAAGTTCCCCCCCCCCCCCGAAGAATTCCACAACACATAATTTATTTTAAAATACAGATATAACAGAATTTTCATTCCACAGTAAATGTATACATTTCAGCTCGTATATAAATAAAAAGAAATTAATTAGTTTGTAGAACTTATTAACTTTTAATATAGCTATATGAAATTTTTTTAGCAATATGTCTGTTCGGTACACGTATCTGAAAAACTTGAGTTTATCACCTTAAAATTTAGTATAGTAGCAGAAAATATACTATTTGAAAATAATAAACAGTTTTCAGTTTCATTTAAAAAAATATATTTTACTAAAAACTTGGAAGTTCCCAAAAATTTTAAGAATATATTTTTTATTATTTTCAAAAATTTTCCCACTCAGATCTGTGATGTTAGGTTTTTTTTAAAAAGAAGAAACAAGTTAGTTGCACAGTTTGGAAAAGTATAAGCACTCTACCTTAAATGGAATTTTAGATGTACTGTTTTAAAAACCTTCCAGCACCATAATAATTTGTTTTGTTATTTTTCATCATATCTTCTAACAACATAATCATTTTGTCATATCAATTTTTCTCCGTTTTATCATTTTACTCTTTGCTCTGGCTGATTTATAGAGTTTTTGGAAACATTAGGGTGCCTTTCGAACTTGAACCTCACAAATTTTTTGCAATGAATGTTTCATATTATGGCTCAGTTCAATGCTTTGGAACTTTTGGGTGGTTGTGAGCCCCAACGTTAAAACTAATTACAGCATCTAAATTTGTACTTTCAAAATAACTATTGAGACAAAAACAGTTTTGGTAAGCGTTCTGTTAAACCATGATTAAAACTAATTCAGAAGTCAAACAACAAAAATCAGCGTTATATTTTCAAATTTTCATAGGACTAGTTTCGATGGTTTTACCGAAAATGTTTTTGCAGCTGAGGATGGTGGTTCAGTAAAACCATCGAAACTAGTCCTCTGAAAATTTGAAAATATAACGCTGATTTTTGCTGTTTGACTTCTTAATTAGTATTTGATCGGTGTGTTATTGTGTCTTAATCACGATTAAAGCTCTCATTTGAATTCTGAGGTCTACCATGTGTTCCACAAAGGTTTTCTATCAGACAGAGAATGGAAAGCATTTTTAACAGCAGAAAGGATAGTTTCTGATAGGGAGTATTTGTGACTGTTTCTGCCTTTCTTTTAATGCTTCTGTATACACTTCATCTTTTTAAATCTTTATTGTAGCCACACCACATTTCCGGATTCATAGAACACATTTAAAAGTTTGTGATAGTACTATATTGCCCATATAGAATTTACCATGTCATCTAGGTTTGTGTTTATATTACGGTGGATTGACAATATAAAGGGAATAAACCATAGGCTAAAAAAAAAAAAAGATTTGTTTTCAGCGAGCAGGAATGCTGAAAAAAGTGAAAAACTTATGTCTCTTACACGATGGTGTGTCGCACTGTTTGTTTACATTCTTAAATGCCAAATTTTAGGTCCATATTTTATATCCCAAACCTATACAAATTATATATTTATGGAACTATCTGTGTCTGGTTTATTTTTTAAGACTGTAATTGAAAATTTGAAAATGTTAACCTTTTTGTGTTCCATGTGCCCTTGAATGATGAAAATATTCATGTTTTGGCAGTGTCAATTTTTTTTTTTTTTTTTTTAATTTAACTGTGATCAAATAATTAAATCTAACTTTTATAGCTGTCCTGTAACTTTATAGCTGTACTTATATTTGGAAAAGTTTTATACTGGTTGTGAAAAAATAAAATTATCAAAAATCTGACTCCCAAACAAAAAAATCAATTTTTAATTTTAAAATTTGCAATTTTTGAGATTGGTTAATAAAGTTAAAATAATTCGAGGAAATAAGTTTAAATGAAGTGCAGTAAAAAGTATGCGTGTATGCGTAATAGGCCATACAAAGAAGTCGTGTTTATCGTGAGAATGCAAATTTATGTAAGTAATTACATAAAATAGGGGGAAAAAAAGTTATATCTTTATTTGAATTATCATCTTGAATAATTAATGAAAAAGGATTAAGGGAAAGATTTAATTTAAGATCCGTATTCTAGCAGCAATTTTGAAACTTTCAAGTTTGGGTTAAAAATTTATATACTCTATGTATAAAATTTGAATTTGTTTAGTTGACAGAAACATTTTCATACCTTATTCATTTTGATCGCATTTTAGCTTTTACTCATCAACAACAATAATTTGGCTATAGGCTTTTAACAATTTTTACAGATATTGCATTAATTTCCCATTTTAATTTATCTTTGTTTATTAAAGACTTCCTGAATAATATAAATTTATTTAATATATATATAATTCACATTATGATACTTGTAATAAATACATGTGACATTAAATTTTGCATTGTTTATGCATTTCTAGTTTTGAAGTGACTGATTTTTGAAATTGGTTAAAAGTCTTCATTCATGACATTTAAAATTGTGATTTATATTTGATAAACTTTGGTTGTTTTAGTTTTAGCTATGGCATTTGAGGTTATTGGTCCTAAGATTTTCATTGCATTCTTTGGATATAAATTGATACATCATTTATTTTATTTCAGGTTTTTTAGGCTATACCTGGAAGTCTGCTGATAATCAAGAGGGTTTTGTTAAGCTGTATGTAGGCTGTAATTTTAATTTATTGATAACATTATAAAATCTTATTTATTTTTGCATAATGCTGAGTTTTTCGTTAACATTTTAAAATTTTACTCTTTGTATTAACTAAAAAAAATTTTAATGAATCAGAATAAAACCATGGATGATGAACTGGAGGAAGGTGAAATTGCTGATGAAGTTTACCCAGAAACCAAAGACAAAGTTTTACCTCGCCGATATGTCTTGCATGAAAATAAAAGTGTAACAATTAAACATAAAAAAACATGTAAGCATGTTTCTCATCATCATGAAGAAAAACACAAAAAACTAAAAGGCGTTTCCTTAAAGCAAAGAAATCCGCGTAAAAAACATCATAAAACGTGCCCTAAGCGCTTGGGAAAGTTACGTAAATATCTTCTTAATAAGATTGCATCAAAAAGTAAACTTTTAGTTCCATCAGATGCAGAAACAGAATTAAGAAATGATAATTATGATTTGGCTTCTAGAAAGAAAAGTGCTTTCAAAAATTATACAAGTCCACCACGTAAAATATCAAAACCCCAAACATCAGTAGCAAATAATTATGGCCCCTTAGAAAGTAAATTTCCAAAATTAATATCTGATTACATGAAAGTTCAAGCTGGTTTAAGGACTCTTAATGATAGTCTGAAAAATGTAAGCAATGAAAACCAACTTACTGCTTTTGATTCGGAATTAGAAGGCAGTCTTTACATTCAAAATAAGAGTATATCTGAAAACCTACCAGATTCCACCACAAAGCAATTGAATGAAGAAAGTGAAGATGAAGATGAGCTAAGGAGAATTGCTCTTGCCAGTGTGAGAAGAGCTGCGCTTGATGAATTTGTAGAAAATAGTGTTGATGCATCTCCTTCAGACAGTGTAAAAAATTCTGGTATGTATTCTCATGACCAAGAAACTGATAATTATGAAATAGTTGATATGGATGTTGATGAAAATCAAGATTTAAATGATGATGTAGATGATCAGCTATTTGGTATTGATACAGCTCCTTTGCACACTGAGTTTTTTTATGTAGAAAGTAAAAACCCTGTTGATGATCAATTATTTGTTATTGACACTAAACCTTCTATCCATAATGAATTTTATAATGTAAAAAGTGAAAGCTCTTCTCCTAATATAATACCACATTCATTGGATAAGTCTGGTGTATCACCTAGTCAGTTAGATAATGATTTTGAAGTAGAATTATTAAGAGCTGAGTTAATTGCTAATATGAAATCATGTAATTCAGGTAAAAGAGAGAGGGAAGAAATTCATAATGTACTTTCAGAGAATTCTGAGGCAAAAAGTCCTGTAACTACACCAAATATAAATTTTTCACCCCAAGCTCCAAATTCTTTAGAAACTGTGCCAGAAACTAAAAATTACACAAAACATTTAAAAGCATTTGACTTGCATAAAACAGTATTGTCTAAAGCAAAAGAAAATATTCCTCGGGAAAGACTTATAATTACTTTAAATAATGATTCATCTTCAGAAGAATCTGATCAAGAAGATGAAGATATGAATCAAAAAGGTCCTTTGCAAATGAATTCTGCAGTTGCTAGCCTTGAAGCTTTGATTTCTGATGCAAGACATAATTCAGATGAAAATAAGTGTAACAGTGGAGATAAAATAAATAAAGCAGTTTCTTGTCTGTCGAAAGCCCAACAGGAGGAATATAATGCTCTAATGAAAATTCTTGCGGAAAAAGAAAAAATAGGTGTACCATCAGAACAGATTCCATTCAAGAAAATTAAAGCTCATTCCCCTCTAGATGATTTAAAATTATTGGAAAAAAAACTGAGTATTGCTAAAACTAATCTTGAGAAGGAGCAGCAACAATTAGGTAAAGTTGTAAAAGAAGTCACTACGAAAAAATCTGCTTACATGAAGTCAAAATTAACTGTACAGCACTTAAAGGAGCAATTGCATGCGGCTGAAAAAGTTAGAATATCTAATTTAAAATTATGGTCTAAGTCAATTGATCATTTCAAAACCATAAAAAAGTCTATCTCTAAGCGGCAGACTTTAATAAAACAGTTGCAAATACAATGCTCTAAACTGGGTGTGGGAATACAAGGACAGAATTATGCTTTGCCTGCAGTTTCAAATAGTAATGTTTCTCTAAAAAAAGAGTCATCATCATGACAGATTTTGAAGTATCTAGGTTTATTGTTAAGTAAGCTGTGCACTGCCCCCTTTTTTTTAAAAAAATTCATGTTATTCCATGTTGTAAAATAAGTGTAAATATTGAATTTACTTTTGCGGTAATCTACATATTGAAGGTGCCATGGATGCAGGGTGTCAAATTTTTATTCATGTACAAATGGTATGTTTAACTGTAAATATTGCTTTCCTAAATTGTTGAGCTTCCTACTTTGTGTTCTGCTCAATATTTTCCATAAAGGAACAGCTCTACTCTGTTGATTTATTATTATTATTTTTAGTTGTGATGAATAATGTTGATGATCATATCAAATCATGGTGTATGTAATTTGTTATGTATATGAATGAGCTTTATAATAAATTGTTTTTGTTCGTTACTTGTGGTTTTTAATTATAGATTGTTTACTGTTAAATTGACGAGTTTTAGCATTTTTATTTAAAATATTTGGAAAAGGAAGAAGATTAGGAAAATTTTGGAAAAGGGGAAAGATTTTATTACTTCTTATCTAGTTATGGAATTTGTTGTATTTTAACCACTTACTCTCCCAAGCATAATTGCGTAGATTTTGTATGTCAATTTAGAACTTAGCCGATTTCTCAAAAATGATCAATCTGTCTTCATTATCAATATGTTTTGAAATAAGCAGGGGAATTTTGATTATCTAAAATGCATAAGAAAATTCTCATTTCTTGCATCTGCAAAATGTGACTAGGTAGTTCACCTGTGCAAGGAGGATTTGCAGATTTTGCATTCATCTGGTTTTAGTTACTATACAAAAGATGATTTTTTTTCTCTAGCCAAAATTAATACATAATATTACTACTTCAGCAAATTAAAATAAGTATTTTTTGCTATTATGTTTATTTAGTTATTTCAAGTTACAAAATAACTTGAAATGGAAAGCTGCAATTAATATTGAATTATACTTATTATGGTTTAAAAGATTTATTTATTAAAGGTGACTGCATCAATTTGTTTTAGATCTTGAAGTAATCAAAATATTTCATGTGCTAAAAATAGATGCATTAATAAGTCTATTACAGAAGTTAAAATTTAGTAAAATTAGTACATAAATCAGAGTTAGATTTAACATGACATGTTAAAGTAAAGGATAACTTAGAAGAGAAACATGCCTGTTTAAAAAATAAAATTAAGTAAAAAAAACTCTGGGCTGGTGTAAATTTTGAATAAAAGTGTTGATTTCGAGGTTGATGTGACATAGATCCCTCTTCCTCGGAAGCCATTGCTGAGGAAGAGAGACTTTGTCAGATTATCCTCAAGATTGAGAGTTTTATTCAAATTCAGTACCAGTCTAGTCTTCCCCGGGGGGGGGGGGGCTGAATTTTTATATTAACTCCTTCATGCAGATTTGAATACCATTCATTGTTAAAACATGTAATGTGTAATGTACACTTTTGGAACTTATGTAAATAAGTTGATAATAAAACCGACCATTGTAAATAAATCATATTTTTATAGAATAGTTTACTTGTTTAAAGGAGAAGATTACATGAATATGCCACAAATATTTTAGTAATTAGCTAGATGTGTAAAATTAGTTCATAGTATCACGCAGAATTTAAAAAAATTTTGTAATATGAATGCAATATGCCCATTCTTATGAAAGATTAACCTGAAGATAAGATTTAAATTCCCATCTTTGACATTAATAAAATTATAAAATTAAATTAAAAACCAAATCACTGCTTCTGTTGTAATGTTTTCCAACTCCATTTTATCAATAATTAATGAGATATGCATTAACATTGTGAAGGATAACACACCAGGTTTCATACTTAAAATCCTAAACACAAATGTATGTTTACTTTCTGAAGATTGTAATGAAATATGCATTAAGTAGAAAATGAGGTTACTAAAAAGGAGTGAATATGAAATATATTCATCTTTTCCCAAATATTATGTAGTATGTAATAATTTAAAAAATCAACTTCTAAAATATATTGTATATAAATTCATAAAATGGAAAAGAATAGAATGAATGAAAATAATTCTTAATGCTAACCAGTTCTTAAAATCTATTAATACAAAGCACTGTTGATAGTGTGTTATAATTGGTAAGTTGGGAACTTCAGTAGTGTAAGAAAGAGTATTGGTCTAAAATTGTATTTTAATTGCAGTTTTTTTTGGGGGGGATGTGCTTGTGCTAATGTGTATATAGAGAAGTGGAACAAATTTCACATTATAGTTCAACAAATATATATAATGGGTAAAAATTCTTTTGTAATAAATTTATTCACTGTTTAATTATATTAAACCAATTTCTACTTCAAAATCGCCATCATTGCCAGTGCATAAAAATTTTACAAATATTCATCTGTGTTATAGATGTCACCCCTTCTTTTTTATAAAGATAGTAGTCTGTAGAATAATTCCCAAAGTGGTAAATAAACAACTCTTCACGTAGCTGTGCAATAATTTAAGTGATTGATTGAGCTTTATAATTTGATATGAATGGAACCAGTAAGAGCTTAAAGCTTTTTATATTTCTCAAAAGCAAAATGAGGCATCATTGCCAGTGCATAAAATTTTTACAAATATTCATCTGTGTCATAGATTTCACCCCCTTTTTTTTATAAAGATAATACAAATATTCTCCAATGTAATTCCCAAAGTGGTAAATAAACAACTCTTCAAGTAGCTGTGCAATAACTTAAGTGTTTGATTGAGCTTTATAATTTGATATGAATGAAATAATGCAAATGAATGGAACCAGTAATAGCTTAAAGCTTTCTATATTTCTCAAAAGCAAAATGAGGCATACCAGCGACCTGCTGTAAGAAATACCAGCGACCTGTTGTAAAACACTTGTAGCCTTGCTATTTTACAACAAATTAATAAAATTGGAGAGCAAAATGATTCCTCTTACTTTGTATCCAGCGCAGCATCAGCGAGATCATGGCGAATTAACTTAATCCAAAAAAGGAGAGGTTGTAGACGGAAATTGGAAGATCACAAACATATTTCATTGATACATGAAAGTACATTAAGATTCGTTAGTATTCCAAATACATATTGAAGGAGAGTTATATAATAGAAAGTGTCATGTCACTATCCTTTACTGAAGGAGTGAGAAAAGTAAGTGAAAAAAAAAAACTAGTTACACAATTATGGCCTTTGCAGGGTGTCCAGATTACACTGCTTATCGTGCTATTGGTGACAGTCCATCACTATTTGCATACCAACACACCTACTTGATGGGCAGTATCACCGTTTGCAGCGATTCTCGAATACAGTACAAAGTCCGTATTCCGGACGTCCATTATCCGAAATGATCTATAATCCGGACATCAAAGCCACAAACTTTTTTTTTGTATGCTTTACGCATGCGAGCTTTCGATACGAGTGCGCGTATGCGTCGCTTGCGATAGTGAAGAAAGTGACAGAGAGGTTATTGAAAACGAAGAAATTCGATTGACAAGTTTGTCGGTGTTCTCGACACAGCAGTTACAGGACTTGAACAGTGGAACTTTGTAACTGAACAAGAAACTTTTATCTGTTTATAGAATTAAAGAGAAAGTATTAGCACAAAAAACGGAGCAACTTAAACAATTTACATTGAAAGAAATGTTTATTAATAAGTAAGCAAATGTTAAGCTTTTTTTTTTTTTTGTAAATTTTGTTACCCTTTAGATCATCATTGCTCTTTATTTCATAAATTAAGGTTTCATATTTTTAATTGTATAATTTCTGCATGCCATCTTACCAAATTAAATTGATGATCTATAATCTGGAAAAACCCCTAATCCGGAATCGACGAGTCCGGATTACGGACTTTGTACTGTACAGGCTTGCCTAGTGGTTTGGTGAGTAGATCCGAAATCGTGTCAGAACTTCTGCAGTAGTCTAGGCTCAGGATCCCATTTTGTTGAAGTTAACGTATGTAGTGGTATTTGACATTTATATGTTTTGTTCTGGAGCTGTTTTTCCCTGACTGTGAAATGACTTGTTATCTTCATAGAGAGTAATCGGCAGATTTTGTTTCAGTCCTATATCTTAAAGCAAATTTAACAGCCGTTGTGCTTCTGGTGCTGTATTAGCTGCTACAATATTCTGCTTCAGTTGAAGATGGTGCAATGCAGTTTTGCCTTTTGCTGCTCCATGAAATGCAGTTATCTCCTAGTTTGAATATGTATCCGCTAATTGATTTTCTTTTTCCGTCATTTGCCCAGTCTGCATCTGAATATGCATTAGTATAAGTTCTTGAATTTTGCTAAAGACCAATTTAAAGTTTTTAGTTGTATATAAGTATCGAATGATTGTCTTGATAGCATTCCAATCCATGTTCCGAGGTTTTTCATTTCTTCTACTGAGTAGATTGACGGCGCATGCTATATCTGATTTGCTGATTGTTGCAATATATAGTAATGCTTCTACTGCCCGTCTGTATTCTGTATCATCCTCTAGATCATCTTCAGTTTCCAGTTTGTTTCCATTGGCGTATATGTTTTTTTTTTTTTTTTTTTTTTTTCCGTTTTGAAGTCCAAATTTTTTAACTATTTCTTCGATTTTATTCTTTTGGTTTATGGCAAAGGTTCCATCTTTAAATATTTCGATGTTTATGCTTATGTGACTTGTGACTGCATGTTTTTTATTTCCAATTTAGCATTTAGTTGTTGGATTGTTTCCAGTACATCTTCTCTTTCACTTTCTATAAGCATATCATCTACATATAATATTATATATGTGAAGTTACCGTTGATGGTTTTGAAAAACAAACATGGGTCTGCTTTACTCTGTTTAAATTATATGTGTAGAAGTATTTTTCCAGTTTTCAGATTCCAAGTTCTAGCGGCCTGTTTTAAACCATATATAGATTTCCTCAGTTTGTAAACTTTATTTTCATTTCCAGCTTCTGAGTATCCTTCCGGCTGAGTCATGTAAATTTCTTCTTCTTCTAGTTCTGCATGAAGGAAAGCTGTTTTGACATAGATATGTCTGACAGGCATGATTTTATACAAAGCTGCACATAGGAAAGCTCGTAGAGTTGTGTATTTTTCTACAGGAGCACAGGTTTCATCATAGTCGGATCCAAACTTCTGGCTAAATCCTTTTGCGACTTATCTGGCTTTGCATCTTTTAATTTTTCCTTCTGTATTGAGCTTGGTTTTGAAAGACCATTTATATCCTATTGGTTTTCATCCTTTGGGTAAATCAGCTAATCCCCAAATATTGTTTTCTTCTAGTGAATTAATTTCTTCTCGAACAGCTGTTATCCATTTTCTTCCAAAGTTTGAATTTCCTTCCAGGTTTTGGGTTCGGGGGAGATTGGATATTTTGCAATGAATCCGTAGCGATCAGGAAGTTTACCTTTTGTGACTCTGTTCGATCTTATGAGTTCCAAAAGTTCTTCTTAGG